ATATATATATATATATATACATATATTTACAATATACATATATATATATATATTTACATATATGTGGATAGTTATTGTTCAATTTTTTTATATATTCTGCGAATTATGTGGCCCCATGAATATTATTGAAATAAAATTTATTTAAATTGTTTAATAATTATTTTAACACTAAAATCCTATTGATTATGAGAGATTACAATTCTTATTAAGGGATGTGTCTGTATCTTATGAAAATATGTATACTTTAATAGAAATGATTTATAAAAAGAGTTTAGTCATTTCTCTACCTAATTAATTATATCTCCTCTCTTTATGTGAAAATGAAGGTGTTCTAAAATTTTTGGGTATTATAGATTCCAAGTTTTACATATATAATTGAAATGAAATGTCCAAAGAGGGCGGGGTAGGAAAAGGATAAGAAGAAAATCGGATGTAAATATATATATATATATATATATATTATTTGATAACATAACTTGTGCACTATAAATAAGCTTGGGTTGCACTAGACGACGTTTATTTGTTTTATATTCAACAGAAGATCTTTATGGTTTTCTAGTTGTTCACCATGGCATCTGCTTCAAAATCCCAATATTTCCACTTCTCCAATCTCGTTCTCTTCATCATCCTTTTAAGCTCAAAAAATATTATAGCGGCACAAGATCAAAAACCACCTCAAGCCTTCTATATTCCCATCACAAAAGACTCAAAAACCCTCCAATACTTGGCTTCAATCCAAATCGGAACTCCTCCGGCCACCGTCGACGCCGTGATCGATCTCGGAGGACAGTTTCTGTCGTTAGCCTGCGACAAATACAACTCCTCAACGACACGCCGTTCTGTCCCATGTGACTCCAGCGAGTGCAAGACAGTACTAGGGCATGCACAGAGCAAAAAGCGTTGTGGCTCAAACGACACATGTTCTCTGTCGTCGTTTAACCCCTTCAACAAGAACGCCGTGGCAGCGGGCGAGCTAAGCGACGAGATCGTCGCCGTGCATTCGACGGACGGGACGGCGTCGCTTCCAGCTACTTACTCCACTCACTTGGTTTTCTCTTGCGCAGATTCTAACAGCTTATTGAAAGGCCTGGCCAAGGGAGGTAATGGAATTCTTGGCCTCGGAAGAAAAACACCGCAAATGTCGCTACCGACGAAGCTCTCCTCAGCGTATAATCTTCCTCCGAAGTTCGCACTCTGCGTGCCTTCGTCGAACGAGTACGGTTTCGGAGACCTTTTCGTCGGCGGCGGGCCTTATTTGTTTCCCGGCGGTAATGACGCGTCCAAAGGGCTTGTCTACACCCCACTCGCTGAATCATCTGAAGGCGAGTATTTTGTTTACGTTAAAGCAATCAAAATAGACAAAAGGGTTGTCCATAATTTCGACACTTCTTTGCTTGCCATCAACCAAAAAGGAATTGGCGGGACAAAGATTAGTACGGCAACTCCGTTTGGCGTTTTGCATAGCTCAATCTACAAGGCTGTTGTTGGTGATTTTGTGAAGAGAGCCGCGGCGAGGAATATCACTAGGGTTACGCCGGTGGCCCCGTTCGGCGCTTGTTTTAGTACTAAGAATTTGCATTGGACAAAGGCGGGACCGAGGGTGCCGGTGATCGATCTCGAGCTACCAGGAAACATGGTAAGTTTGAATTGGAGGATCGAAGGTGCTAATTCAATGGTGAGAGTCAACAAATACGTTTTGTGCTTGGGATTTGTTGATGGTGGATCAAAGGCAAAGGCTTCAATCGTCTTGGGCGGGCATCAATTGGAGGACAACTTTTTGGAGTTTGATCTGTCGAGAACAATGCTTGGTTTTACTTCTTCACTTCTGCCTCGAGATGAAACCTGCTCACACGTCAGGAATCTCTAAAGCAACCTCTATTCATCCCGCTACTCACACAAGATAAATCTCGTTATGTGAGTAGGTAGGACCCATATAGGATTTTATCCTGTCGGAATAAATATTATTTCTCATCTTTAAATTTAGATAACATTAATGTGGTAATGCGTTCTTATCATCTTTATCAAGTCGTTATGTGTGCGGTCCAAGAGCAACTCATCAATATCAGAGTACTAAATCAATGTAGCTTTTT